CTTCTCATAGTTCTCTTTATTGGTGTATGGGAATCCAATTGATTTTTGTATATTTCTCTTGTATCCTGCTACTCTGCTGAATCTTTCTATTAGTTCCAGTAGTTTTCTCATGGAATCTTTTGGGTTTTCTATGTACAGTATCATATCATCCACAAATAGTGGCAGTTTTACTTCTTCTTACCAATTTGGATGCCCTTTATTTCTTTTTCTTGCCTTATTGCTCTAGCTAGGACTTCCAGCACAATGTTAAATAGGAGTGGTAATAAAGGGTATCCTTGTCTTGTTCCTGTTTTCAAGGGGAATGTTTTCAGCCTCTCTCCATTAAGAATGGTACTAGCTGTTGATTTTGTATAGATGCCCTTCATTTTGTTGAGAAATTTCCCTTCTATACGTATTTTATTGAGAATTTTTATCAGGAATGGGTGTTGGACTTTGTCGAATGCCTTCTCTGCATCAGTTGAGATGATCATGTGATTCTTTTCTTTCCTTTTATTTATGTGGTGGATTATGTTGATTGATTTTTTAATGATGAACCACCCTTTCATACCTGTTATGAATCCCACTTGTTCGTGATGTGTTATTTTTTTATATGATTCTGAATTCTATTGGCTAGAATTTTGTTGCGAATTTTTACATTATATTCATGAGAGATATTGGTCTGTAATTTTCTTTTTTCTTTTTGTGATGTCTTTGCCTGGTTTTGGTATCTGGGTTATGCTGGCTTCATAGAATGAATTTGGCAGTATCGTTTCCTTTTCTATGTTCTGAAATAGTTTGAGTAGGACTGGTATAAGCCCTTCTCCTAATGTTTGGTAGAATTCTCCAGTGAAGCCATATGGGCTAGGGCTTTTTTTTAGTTGGGAGTTTTTTCATTACCTTTTCAACCTCTTCTCTTGTTATGTATCTGTTTAGATTTTCAGCTTCAGTTTGTGTTAGTCTGAGTAGGGTAGTGTGGTTCTAGAAATATGTCCATTTCCTTTAGGTTTTCTAATTTGTTGGAGTATAGTTTTTCATAGTACTCTGTTATGATCCTTTTTATTTCAGTTGTGTCTGTTGTAATGTCCTCCATTTCATTTCTTATTTGGGTAATTTGCATCCTCTTCTGTTTTTCTTTTGTCAATTTAACCAATGGTTGGTTGATTTTGCTGATCCTTTCAAAGAACCAACTTTTGGTTTTGCTGATTCTTTCTCTGTTTCTCTATTTCACCTCCAATCTTTACTATTTCCTTTATTCTGGTTGCTGTGGGCTTCTTTTGCTATTCCCTATCTATTTTTTCAAGTTGTGTAGCTAATGTTTTGATTTTGTCCCTTTCTTCTTTTTTGATGTGTGCATCTATTGCTATAAATTGACCTCTGAGCACTACCTTTGCTGTGTCCCAAAGGTTTTGGTATGATGTGTTTTCATTCTCTTTTGATTCCAGGAATTTTTTGATTCCATCTTTGATTTCTTCTATTACCCAGTGCTTTTTTAAGCAGGTTGTTATTCAGTTCCATGTATTTGATTTTTTTTTCCTTGCTCTTCTTAATTTCAACTTTTATGGTTGTGTGATCAGAGAAGATACTTTTTATCATCTCAGTGTTTTGGATTTTGCTGAGGGTTGCTTAGTGGCCTAAGATGTGGTCCATTCTGGAAAATGTTCCATGTCCATTGTAGAAGAATGTGTACTTTGCAGCTGTTGGGTAGTGTGTTCTATATCTATCTATTAGGTCAAGTTGATTGATTGTGACCTTTAGATCTTCTATATCTTTGTTGAGTTTCTTTCTAGATGTTCTTTTATCAAGAGTGGTGTATTGAAGTCTCCTTCTATTGTGGAACTGTCAATTTCTCTTTTCAGTGCTGTTAGAATTTGTTCTATATATTTTGGAGCCCTGTCATTGAATGTGTAGATATTTATTATGGTTATGTCTTCATTGTGGATTGTCCCTTTAATCGTTATATAATATCCTGATTTTTCCTCAACAAAGTGGTATTCAAGGATTTGTCTTCAGTTTCACTAATCCTGTATTCCTTTGTTTTAAATTTGCTCCTAAAACTTTCTATGGCACTGTTCATTTCCGAAATCTTGTTGTTTATCTTTTGGATTTCTAATTGCTGTTTTTGTATGATTTCTAGTTGTTTGTTTATTTTGACATTTTGTTTCTGTATTATTTTCCTGAATTTTTCCATTGTTTTGTCTTTTCCATGATTTTGTCTATTTTTTCCTTATTTTTGTTTGTGTCTTCCTTCATCTGTTGGAGAGCCCTGGATATTAGAGTTTTGAATTTCCTATCAGGTAGTTCCAGTACCTTTTCTTCTACCACAAGGTCATCTGGTGTTTTATTTTGGATGCTATCTGGAGCTTTCCAGTTTTTTTTAAAATATGTTTTGATATTGTCTGCTGTCTTCAGGACATTCACAAATTATTTTCTTCGTTTATTGATTGTAGATTTGTTTGTTTCATCTTGCTCTTTTATTTTATTTGGTTATGTCTGGGCAGGCAGGCTGGGTGTTATTTGTTGCTTGCTCATCAGTGGACATGATACTTCTCACTGCTTTGTCCAGGTAGGCAGGGCCAGCCACTCAGCTATGGTGCAGCAGGGCAAGTCCAGCAGAGGGTAGGGGTGGCAATGGGTTGTTTGCGGCATGTACTGGGGCTGACAGGGCAGCGCCAGGGGGCAGTGCTGGGTGGGGTCCAGTAGTCTATACCTGTGCTGCTCAGGGGTATGGCTCTCAGCACACAGTGCAGATAGGCAGGAGGGAAGGAGAGGATGTGATGCATGGAGCTAAGTGGGTGTGGGAAAGAAGAGAAAGAAGAGAGTGAAACAGAAGCCACCCCCCCACCAAAAAAAAATGTTGCGGAAGGAGCCTGATGGTGGAGAAGCGTGGACCCGGGGAAGCCATGTGCTGGTGGCTTTCTAGCCAAGAGGTATGGCATAGCCTGTAAAAAGCAGCAGAGATAGCACACATGGCCAGGTGGTTGGGAGAAAGGAATGGGGGGAATGTAGAGAGAGTCAAGAAACCAAGAACAAAAATGCCCCGAGACAGCCCACTGGCAGGGCAGCATGAACCAGGGAAGTGGCTCCCCACCCAAACAGCGGTGGCACAGCCTGTCAAGAAGACGTGGAAATGGCACACAATGCCAGCTAGGCAGGAGAACAGAAAGGAAGGGGGTGTGAAAAAGAGAAGAAACAAAAAGAAACCAAAACAACAACAAATGACACGGATGGAGCTGGCTGGTGGGGCCGGAGTGAGTCTGAGTGGCAAGGAGCCAGCTTCTGTCCAGCTCAGTAGCTGCAGCTGGCTGGAAAGTAGCAGAGGCTACACAGAGGGAAGAAAGGTGAGGGATGGGAAAGCATGTATCTCTGGTTACTGGGTGCTCTGTCTCCTGCTGCGAGTTCCAAGAAGTTGCCTTCCTGTACTCCATGTCCTGCCATTCTTGGTGGCTGAGGGGTCCAAGATGGCAAGTCCATGCCGTGTTAGCTGGTAGGGGACCTCCGCTGCATAGTTGTCCTTGTTCTCTGTCAGTTTCTTATTCCATTCAGTACTTGGTTGAGGCCTTTATCCCTTCATTTGAAGCTTACGGTTCCAGGATTGACATTTATATCTGTTTTGCTTAGTTTTTTTGGTCTTTGCTGTAGTGGGATGCTGTGGTGCTTCTGTCTATAGTGCCATGTTGGACAGAAGCCCACTCGTCTAATGATATTCTCTTAAGGGCAGATCACTATTATTTTTGCCTGAGGGTTCCTCCACTGTTGAGAAATGACCCAGGAAATTACAGGCCATCAAGAAATGTTTGTTACATAAATCTATACATTGAGTAAACATTTAATCCTCCAGGTATACATGAGCAAATAGTTGTGTCAAGGCAAAAATAACGTCAAAAAGAAGGGGCTTACCTATGTCAGTTAGAAAGAGCTGGGGGGATTTAGCCTAATTTTATTCAAGCTTTCTCGCTGTCAATAACAGCCTTCAGTTGGAGACACCAAAAATTCCACCTCTGACTGCCTGTTTTCCTTGGTAGAATTGACTGTCTTTTTCTGCTTTTTATACTATTACCTAAGAAGAAACTACTACAGTAAGCCAGTGAAATCCTAATGAGTTAATCAGTTGGTTCTCCTGAGTGTTTATGGTGGCTCCAGGCCATTATTGCTAAGAAAACGCTCTGAGGGACAAACTGACTCCCCACCCTCTGTGAACTTTCTTCCTGTATTTACATAAGTACTTCTTTTCTCCCAGAGCCCTGCCCATACTATAAGAACTATGATAGGCTGAGGGGTGCTCCCAGACTCTCAGGTAAGATTCACAGCTGAGTGTGAAATGATTACTTCTGCAGGATCAAGGGCACTCATAGAAAAGTAAGGGGATCAAAACTTTTTTTAAAATGACTGATCTTTTGGTAATTATTTTTCTTCTCTTTTCTGAATATTTGAAGCATGCAAAATTGGAGATTTGGCATTTTACTGAATTCCTAACTCTTCCTTCAAATTTAAATTAGCACAACTTTATAAATATCCAGAAAACCAAAACATGCCTAGTTTCAAAACAAATGCCCTCGTCCCCCGTTTTCTAGCAGGTATTAAGTGTTTTCCTCTTGATTTATCTGCAGAGTTGCTTAGTTGCTAGAGTTTAGAAATGTTGCGTCTTTGACTTTCTGTATATTAGCTAGAGGTTCTGTTAGTGAAAGAACTTACTTTTAATCTAATAGAAACTGAAGCAGGTCACTCCTTAATCTTGGATTACATCAGTTAACATGATTCCAATCCATTTCTTCTTCTTCTCCTTCTCCTTCTCCTCTTTTCCCTCCTCCCCTTCCTCCTTCTTTTCCTCCTCTTTCTTCTTCTTCTCTTTCAAACAGGAGTTGGAGCAATACACACAGTCAGCAGATTTAGAAAGAAATTTGGTCACTTCTCTGTGTGAACAAGGCTGATTGGAGGTTTTATGCCCAGAACAGTACTGAATCCAGCATTGGCTCTGCAGATTGCTGCTACCAGCAATTAATTCTTCACCATCTCCTCATAACATGGAGGAAAGGGACAAAGCCGGGAAAGCCAGGTAGGTCACCACTTTTGAATTGGTTCGCCTTGCCATAACTATTCGTTGTGCAATATGGTATTACCTGGTGGTGTTTTTGAAGTGAAATTATAAATCTATGTCTTGGCCGAAGCACTCACGTGGATTTGGAAAGGTGAAGTCAAGGTTCAATTTACAAACTAAAGTGAAGAAAAGTTTCAGGTCCTTTACTCTGATCCAAAGCTTCCCAGATATGATCCTCAATTTCTGCCATTTAGCAGTTTGCTTGAACACTGATGCTGAATCTATGGGGAAAAGGTTGATTTGGGAAATAGCTTTTAAGAATAACTAGATTTGGGTTCTAATTCCTGATTTGTCACTAACTGGTTGGGTGACCTTGGACAGATAATGTATATCCCTGAGTCTCAGTTTCTTCAACTGTCAAATAGGAATAATGGGCAACATTTATTAGTGCTTAGTGTATGCCAAAAACTATGTGAAGCGTTTTTGGTACAGCTAATTGTCACAACTACCTTGTTGGGAAGATACTATTATTGCCCCCATTTTACAGATGAGAACACTGAGACTTTCAAGCACTCGAGTAATTTGCCTAGTGTCACATAGTAAGGGAGGGAGCCCAGATTTGAACCCAGGTGTCGTTTCCACAGCTCATGTTCATAATCACTAAGTTGTAATAGTGGGTTAAATGATTTCTCTGACAACTCTTAACTCTAAAATTTTTGAGTTCTATTATTTAACTCAAAAAAAACAAAGAAGGAGGAGATAAGGAGACGTGATTTCAGGTAGAAGCCAGGCTTCAACCTGGAGAACTGGCTGCCCCGAGTGAGGTCAGTTTAACATTGGTCTTTGATTCTTTCTCTGGGTGGAGGGAAGAGATTGGGTGGATGAGGAGATTGAGAGCAGTTCTACTAACTGTCTAGGCTCAGTATTGATGGGCACTACCCTACCCAGCCCTACCCTCTGTGAGAGGTAAGCAATGGGTTCACTGTGCGGTGTAGGCATCCCGTTGGTATTGGTTCTGAGGACGCACTGGGTTCTGACACTGCTTTAAATAAGAGAAAGGCATCTGCTATCCCACCCTCAATCCAAAGGAAGAAGGTTTTACCTTTGAAACTAATGATCAAAAGTCCTGCACCTAATTTTGCACTCATAATTTTATATTCTTTTTCTTAAAGAATATGCCAACTCTGCAAATTGCATAGCCTTCAGGTACTGCAAAACCCGTGTCCACCCTTGTCCTAACACATTTTTTGTTTACTAAAATGCAAATAATTTAAATAGATTGAAGTTGGGCTTCCTGACTTTAAAAATATAGAACCTTTTTAAAGAATAATATATTTTTTAAAATAATATTTAATTGTGTTTTTGGTGAAAGTTTACACAGCAAGTTAGGTTCCCATTTAACAATTTCTATACAAATTGTACAGAGACATTGGTTATAATATTTAATTGTGTTTTTGGTGAAAGTTTACACAGCAAGTGAGGTTCCCATTTAACAATTTCTATACAAATTGTACAGAGACATTGGTTACATTTTTTACCATGTGTCAAGATCCTCATTATTTCTGTTCTGGTTGTTTCATTTCCATTAATCTAGCTTTCCCTGTCCCACCTTACCTTCTCATCTTTGGTTTAAAGTAAATGTTGACCATTTGTCATATAGATGATTTTTTAAAGGAGTACAATACTCACAGCTGATATTGTTTATTTTATGAGCCAATCTGTTATTTAGCTGAAAGGTGACCCCCAAGAGTAGTTTCAGTTCAAAGTTTAAAGGGTATCTCAGGGTGATAGTCTCGGAGGTTTCTCTAATCTTGACTTTCTAAGAATTTGAGTTTTGTTCTACATTTTCCTCCTGTTGTATGAGAGTCGATCTATTGTGTTCCTGATCAGAATGGTCAATAGTGGCAGCTAAGCACCATCTAGTTCTTCTGGTCTCAGCATAGATGTGGCCATGGTTCGTGTAGGCTATTAGTTCTGTAAACTAGTTTCTTCTTTGAGTTTTTAGTTTCCTTCTTTCTCTTTTGTTCCAGATGAGTAGAGATACAATAGCTAAGCTGTATACAATAGCTGTATCTTAGATGGCCACTTGCAAGCTTTAAAGACCCCAGATGCTGCTTACCAATCTAGGATGTAGAACATAAACTTTATGAACTATATTACGCCAATTGACCAAATTGTGCCATGAGACTATGGTCCTAAGCCTTCAAACCCACAAGGTGTTTGGTTATGTCCGAAGAAGTATCTGTAACCATGCCCCCTATGTGCGTTACTATATACATATGAATATATATGCAACACACATCTATGTGTATATACATATGCCTGTAGATACACCTATACATGCACGCGTATATATGCACGTGTCTATGTATACACATATATGCATACATACCTACCTATGTAACCACACACACAGTTTTTTGTTGTTCTTGCTATTGTTGCAAAATTATATATATTATAGTATTTACTGTTATAGCATTTACCAAAAACATCCCTTATTCTTGTGCACTTCTTAGTGACATCACTTACCTTGATCAAGTTGTGCACACTTCACCTACATTTGGTGTTACTTTTCCCGTCACTGAAAATAACAAGTGTCTAGTATCTAAAGAGTGATTCCCACTCCTCCCCCTCCCATCCTTGGTAACCACCAACAAATGTTGGCTTCTGTATGTGTACCTATTCTTGTTTTTTATAAAAGTGAGATGATACTGTATTTGTCCTTTTGTGATAGACTTATTTCACTTAGCATAAAGTCCTCCAGATTCCCCCACATTATAATATATAATGCACCACAAAAAAAAAAGCACACAAAATGCAGTCCCACTCTTAGGAATATATCTTAGAGAAATAAGAGCCGTCAAACGAATAGACATAGGCACACCCATATTCATTGCAGCAGTGTTCACAATAGCAAAAAGATGGAAACAACCTAGATGAATGGATAAACAAACTATGGTACATACACACAATGGAGTATTATGCAAAGAACAATGATGAATCTGTGAAGCATCTCATAATGTGGATGAAACTGGAGGACATTATGCTGAGTGAAATAAGTCAATCACAAAAGGACAAATATCGTATGAAACCTCTACTATAAAAACTCATGAAAAAGTTTACACACAAAAAGAAACAATCTTTGTTGGTTATGAGGGATGGGAGAGGGGGGACTAAATAGACACCAGATAAGTGGTAACTTCGGTGAAGGGTAAGACAATACCCAATACTGGGGAAGCTAGTACAACTTGTACAAGGAAAGGTCATGAAAGCTCCATAGACACTTCCAGACTCCCTGAGGGACTGAGTTGCTGGGCAGAGGGCTGTGGGGACAATGGTCTCCAGGAACATCTAGCTCAATTGGCATAACACAGTTTATAATACATTCTACCTTGGTGAGTAGTGTCTGGGGTCTAAAAAGCCTGTGAGCAGCCATCTAAGATACTCCACTGGTCTCACCCCTTCGAGAGCAAGGGTGAATGAAGAGAACAAGATACAAGGAAAAGATTAGTCCAAAGGACTAATGGACCACAGCTACCAAGACCTCCACAAGACTGAGTCCAGCATAGCTAGATGGTGCCTGGATACCACCACTGACTGCTCTGACCGGGATCACAATAGAGGGTCCTGGACAGAGCTGGAGAAGGATGTAGAACAAAATTCTAACACACAAAAAAAGACCAGATTTACTGGCCTGACAGATTGGAGAAACCCCAAAAGTATAGCCCCTGGATACCCTTTTAGCTCAGTGGTGAAGTCACTCCCAAAGTTCACTGTTCAGCCTGGGATTGGACAGCCTCATAAAAGAAAATGGGACTAACGAGGCACAGCAGTCCAGGGATAAGGACTAGAAGGCAGGAGGGGACAGGAAAGCTGGTGGTAGGGAACCTGAGTTTGAGAAGGGACAGTGTTCACATGTCGTGGGGTTGTTAACCATTGTCATAGGGCAATATGTGTACTGTTTAATGAGAAACTATTTGTTCTACAAACCTTCATATAAGGTACAAAAAAAAAAAAAGAATTATCTATTTGAGATCAAATTGACAACAGCAACTCAAAAGGTTTGATGGGAAGCCTAGGCGGGCAGTGAGTTGAAGATAATGGTGATGGAATAATTTGGAAAAGACTAGTGAGAATAGCAGAACAACTGGAAGAATGTAATCGATGTCACTGAATCGTACATGTAGAAACTTTTGAAATGGTGTAACTTTGGCTATGTATATTTTCACCAAAAAAAAGGTACTCCAAGGTCGAGAATGGAGAGTGTTAACATGTCGTGGAGTTGTTAACCAATATCATAAAACAATAAGTGTACTGACTGTTTAATGAGAAACTATTCTGTAAACCTTCATCTAAAGTACAACAAACAAAATAAGGAAAAAAAAAAGATCCATATGCACTGGAGTAGAATGTATACTGTGCTGTTTTCGGGTAGAGTGTTCTGTATATGTCTGTTAAGCCTAATTGGTTTATAGTGTCATCCAGGTTCTCTGTTTCCTTGTTGTTCTTCTTTCTGAATATTCTGTCCAGTGTTCAAAGTGGTATATTGACGTCACCAACTATTATTGTAGTACTATCTATTTCTCCCTTCAATTCTATCAGGGTTTGCTTTATATATTTAGGTGCCCTGATGTTGTGTGTATATATATTTATGATCATTAAATCTTCTTGATTAATTGACCCTTTTATCAATACATAGTATCCATCTTTATCTCTTCTGACAGATTTTGTCTTAAGGCCTACTTTGTCTGGTATTAAGATTGCCACCCCAGCTCCCTTTTGGTTATTATTTGCATGGAGTATTTTTTCCATCCTTTTACTTTCAACCTATTTGTGTCCTTGGGTTTAAAGTGTGTCTGTTGTAAACAGCATGTAGTTGGATTTTTTTTTTAAAAAATCCATTCTATCACTCTCTGCCTTTTGATTGGAGCATTTAGTCCATTCACATCCACTGTAATTACTGATAAGGAGTGATTTACTTCTGCCATTTTATTTGATTTTTGTGTGTTAAGCCTCTT